AACGGCTTTCAAAAGAGTGCGTAGGCCCAGTGAACGTCGGGCAACGGGATTCAGCAAGTCTTTTCAAATCAGATAATAGCGTAATGCATGATGTTAGCTTACGGAATTAACGTCTTCAGTTGAAATGATAACAGCTGTGTACCAAGTAAACAACTGGGCGGACCATGCAAATTACATTTCCCATGATGCACTGGTGCAATTCCTGGGATTGCGGAGCCGCGCTTTAACATGCACACATTTAAAATGCTGCTAACAAAAGTATGACAGTTATATTCAATTGACACGTTTAAAAACACTACAGTTATATTTGTTGGAAACAGGAAGATGTTTCTGTGAAGGAAAATTTTTGGCTTTCTGCCAAAAAAATTTCCTCCATAATCCTTGCACTGCACACCATTCTTATTTTCATATTACTGTGTTTTAGTACTTTAGTGTTCAAGGTTAGAGTAAATTTTAGTTTGTTCAACTTGAATGCTCCATGTTTGTTTCTTTTCCCATACTGCATTGTGTCTCAGTTGCTGTTTGTGGTATTCTTGGTTTTCAGATTATTTGCATTCAATGATTTCTGATTTAACATTTTTTGTTGAAGCTATAGTACTTTTTTTTCTTATTGATGTGAATCTAAAAAAACGAATTATGAAATTAGGATATTTTTTCTTAAAGAATTTGATCTTGACCTTCTTTCTCTATCCACTTAAAATATTGTTGTTGCATAACTTACAAGCTGTTTTTTTAAGGTTTGACTTTTAAACATTGGGTGAACATGCTAGTTTTTAGTCAGTAATATTTTATTCATGTGGTAGACAAGAGACCAATGCAATCACTGTTATATACATTTCATCTCGGGATGTCCCGCATGCCTCAACTGACCACACCTAAATATTTGCAAGAGGCCCAGAGTGGGAAGATTATTTTAATTATCTGCTACAATCTGTGTTATGAGACGCACCCCTGTACCATGACATATTAGTCTGGGCTCATCAGCTTGGAACTGTAGATCCCATTGTTTTTGTTTGCCTAGTGCCAGTTAATCCAGTATGCACCAGTAAAAACAACTATATTAACATTTAATATTTCAGCATAAGATGTATATTATACAAATCTACAATAAATATTTGAGTTAAACATTCTCGTTATTTTGATGTAGCGTTATTAATTCCAGTCAGCACACTTAATAATGCTAAGTATTTAAAACAAAATTGAGAAGATTGAAATTAAGCGTTTAAAATAGTCTATGTAATCTTGTATGACTCGATATGTCAAGTTCAATTGTAGCTTGAAAGATTTCTGAGAATTTAGTCGACACCTCCCCCCTCCCTAGGGTCATCCATCGGTCAAAACAGGAATTGTGTCAGTTCAGTTCCTCTTGTGTCACTGTGAATGACCTTCTTCCCCCATGTAATAAAACACATGAGGCAGTCCAGACAGGATGATTTGCATTATAAAAGGGCTGGTTAAGCATGACAGGTGTAGAGTTGGCAGTGTGCCATCTTTAGTTGGGATGACATCATCAACTCTAGGCATACATATGCAGAATGAGCTCCACCTCTTTAGACATGTAAATGTATGTATATTAAAATGCAAAGAATATTAATCATATGGGCAGCTGGGTGGTGTATCTTGGCAAGTTGCCAAAGCCTCTCTGATATGCACGATTGTTATATTATACTCGGTATTTTCAATAAAAATATTAAAAAATCAGAGTAGCTAGACTGTAAAATTAAATATGACTTGGTAAATTTTCTTATTCAATTTAAATCATATACAAATTAATATAATTAAGTATTTAATGCATTGTTTGACACTATTCTCATGCATATTATAAAAAAGGGTGTCTTTAAAATATTATTTTTTGCCAGTCAAGATTGATTTTTTTTTACATTGCTAGTTTCAGTGTTGTGTGTATGACCAGTGCATAGAATACAATACACTTTATTACTAACTCTTGGCTGTCATATGAGTATTTAGTGGAACAAATTCATCTCCGGTGTTTTTTATTTTTATTTCAAAAGTGGACTTTGTTAGACAACACCTACACACTATTCAATGTATTCAGCTGCTGTAGTTATCAGCAGGTCAATCACAGTGTACTGAGCTGTATTATTTATTTACTTCTCTGTGTTAATTGTTTGTTTTGTCAGGATTAATGGACAATTACCTGTGACTTACAGAAGTAATATTGATTGCACTTTTTATTTATCTGAACCAGCTGACATGGCTTTTTCAGACAGAAAAGTGAATTTTACCAAAAAAAAAAAAATGCTTAGAAGACCAGTATTTTTTTCTCTCTCCCAGAAGATCATATTTTTGAATAAGATTGTATTGATATTAAATTGTTCATAACAAGTCATGGCCACAATACATATTAATTGTGTAAATAATGTAGAGGCCAAGGTTGAATTCCGATCTTGGATTGGGTACACTTCCAACATGTCTAGCTCATGTCTGGTCTTAATTCAAAGTAACTGATTGGACAGCTTGACTGCACATTTAATGCTTTGTTTAATTGCTGTAAAACTAAGTATAATTGAATTACTAATTCTCTATCAGATTGAGCTGGAAAGAAAGATTAAAAACATAAACTGGGTATGATACCAAATAAGCAGAATTCATTAGAACTGAGACAGTTGGTAGCCACTGCACTAGTGCTCATAAAAAAAACCTTTGCAATTACTGTAATTTTGTAGCAGTGATTTTTTGTGAAATATTGATTTTATGAATGCCATAAATTCCTGTAAAAATGAATCCAAGAAATGTTATATTAAAAATCTTTGTTTTGTATTTATTTTACAGTTTGGGACGAATATCACCTAGCAGTCACAGAGAACAGGAAAGGCGGATCCGACGAGAAATTGCGAATAGCAATGAGCGACGACGCATGCAGAGTATCAACTCAGGATTTCAGTCATTAAAGACATTGTTACCTCACGCTGATGGCGAGAAACTGAGCAAGGTAAAAATCAAACCTGTTGTCATATCGGTTGCACAATTTTATGATTTCATAACAGCAGTGTAGCATAGTTTTACAGTAGCTTTGTACCCACAGAGCTAAACAGCATAATTTCAGTGATGGGATTTCGTATGACATAACCGCAGTGTATTACGGTTTTATAGTAGCTATGTACCCCCACAGCTCTACATTGTCGCGACAATCGTAGGAATTCACTGTAATTGTATGATGGGAATAAAACCTGTTCAGATCACTTAGTTATTCTCATGCAAATTATGAACAATTACTGACATGCAGGCATGGATGGCTGGCTGGCTATATTTAGACTGTTGTTGCACAATACCTTTATCAACTCCAATGACCTCTCTGTCAGCCACCCTTGCACTCAATGCCCTGCGTGCTATATATATGTTTATATATATAGTCTGTTTATGCCCTATATTCCTGCTCATCAAACAGATCACTGCCAGCGTACGTTTCAAGTAGGTGACTAGCATAGCTGGTAGTAGGATAATGATATACTATTGATACAATTATGAAACAAAACTGAATGCCCGGTGTTACTCAAAAGTCGGCTTCTGTTTTACTCGCCTTAATATCCATTTACGCCTTTTTCTAATGACAAAATCTTGTTATTAATGGACTATAGTGTGCTTTTCAAAAATAGTTTTTAAGGCTTATCAACTAATTATTATTATTATTATTAAGATGTATCTAATTTAGCTTAGTTTATTCTGAGAAACTTAGTTATCTGACTTATTATTGTTAATGACCAAATTATTATTAATTTGTATTGTCATTTATTATCTGGTTATCCAATGTGATGTGACAACTTACTAATTGATATATGCCACCTGTCTTCTATGGTAAATATCATTCCACAGTGGTATCTTTAATTGTGAGCACATGGTTGCTAATGATATGCTAATATTATGCAAAATGGAATGTTACTCATTGCAGGCTGCCATATTGCAACAGACGTCTGAGTTCATCTTTAATCTGGAGCAAGAGAAGACTCGCTTGTTGCAACAGAATACGCAGATGAGACAGATGCTTGCTAAGAGAAGTGCCGAGACAAAGGAGTCCCCGCCAAAAAGACGAAAGAATGAGGATAGTATTTCATCGGATGAAGGTATTGGAAGTCCTGAGGTGGAAGATTTATCGGTGAGTTTTGATGTAGGTGATGGCATGCTATTCCTTTTACTCAAAACATCATCAACATCATTTTAGTTTTTGAACTCGTTACTTGGCATGGTTGCTGTATACTCAGTTTTTATTATTGCATCCTTCACTAGATGGAAGAGTTACAGAAGGAAATGGTAGAGTTACGACAACAGTTGGACCGCGAACGAAGGCTTCGCATGTTGTTGGAGGAACGCAACCGCAGCTTGGAGGCACAGCTTTATCCTGAAAAATTGCGAGAGATTGCAAAACATGTAAGTGTACCTGTCGAGTATTATTACTTAAGATTCGGATTTCAATGTTTTCCACCACCACTGTCGGTCTATACATTGCTAATTTGCATACAAATGACAGTACACATTTAACACCATACTAAATAACATTTTAGGCACAAGCATGGCAGTAAAACATTGAAAGTGTGTAATTTAAGCTGATGATTCTTTAAAAATTAATTGATCTGAAATACAACAAAATATACTTTATAGAACGACAATTGACAACATTGAAGATGAGCAATGCCTTCTTATTTAACTGTTGACACGTTGATTTGCAGGAACAACAGAAACAGCTCCTTGACGTTCAACGAATGCATGAAATTCAGCAAATGCAACAAACACAGACGGTTGTACCTGTGCCGGTACAACTGATACACGCCCCACCTGTCATCACAGCTAACAACGCTGCCAGACAGAACCTTGATGCAATAGTTCAGGCCATCAAGCATTTGGAAGGAGCCAAAGCAACCCCAACCCCTGAAGACAATGAAAAAGCCTTGAACAGTGACTGTGACAGCGTTATGAGCGAAAAAGAAAATTCCACTGTTGTGGTGAACGACATAGAGGAAGCACCAATAACAGAAGTTCAAACAGAAGAGGTGATCAGTACAACGGCAGACATCACACACCAAGCAGTTACTGTTGAGTTAGTGCATCCATCATTTCACAAGCCCCAAGAACTTACATCTACGCCGGGAATTTTTGTTTCGTGAGAGCATAATCTTTTCATATAGAAAAAAATATACTAATATTAAGTGCAAATTTCTATATTTGTTTTATTATAAACTGTATAAAAAAAGATATAATTTCCCAACTTTTGTGTTTGTAAATGTCCAACCAGCAGCTGACTTGCATTATTCAATTTTTTTATTTGAAACAAATTTAATATTTTGTCCTTTGATAAATATCTCTGGGATTTGTTCTTGTTTTCATTATTTAAAATAAAATTCAGCATCTATTGCAGAGCTAAGCTTCTTGCTTTCTTAATAAAAAATAAAAAAAATAAACAGATGTGCTTGGAAATTTAAAATTTAGTGAAGGTAGATTAAATAATAAAAAAGTAACTAAGAAGATAAATAAATGTTCCAAGATTTATTGGCCCTCAGGAGCATATTGTTTTTCTATTTGGATATTACTTAATGTTTATATGTTTTAACAAGAAAGCAAAAAGCTGTCTTTATTTCTACGGCTTTATATGCATTTCTATTAGTCAGAATAGTGTGGTTGAAAAGGAAACCAATAGAATTATGAAAAACAATTGTGCAACTACTTGTGATTTGTATTTTTTGCAAACATGACTGAAATATCACACGTATGTAGTTTTCTATCGACGGCAGATAGTAGATGTTTATGTTCTGTGTCGATATACAGTTAACTGTGCAAGTGTCAAGCCTCTTGATAGACGTATTTGCTAGTCTTTATCATTTTGAAAAATTTGCATTTACCAACTGTTGGTAAAGGTAATGAGGCTCAATCAAGCCTTGTGTACGCAGACAGACACTTGCTAGGCCTATAGACTCTATGATCTATGGCTTAACCAAAGAGTAGATGAATAGTTTTAGATTACTGCTTTTCACTGTCAATTTTCTCTGTGGACGAAAAGTATTTTATGTATTTATTTATATTAGAAATTATAAACTGTTGTTTAAATGGATGGATTATGTGTTAGCTCTATTTATACAGTTTTCTTTGTGTTTATTCAGTGAAATGTAAAGTTTGGAGACCAAATCTTGGTGTCAGTTCAGATATGTTGAGTGTGAACGTGGCTTGCTGTCTAATGCAGTGTAACTGCTCAATATTTTGTAATGAGAACTAATTTGAATAATTCACTGAAAAGTTAATATTAAAAAAAATATACGATATATTTAAGAAAAAAAATTGTGTTTTTAAAATCTAAAATCAGCTGCTTGATAGCGACTTCTCTTATGTGATTAGATCAAAACTATATATTTAAATGTAACAGTAGTGAATACATCTAGCAGTAGTTGTGCTTTAAAACACTAGTGTAAACATATCTAGCAGGATTTTTGCTTAAAAACACTAGTGTGAACACACCTTGTGCTTAAGATGTATTTAGATTTGATTATGAAAATCAAAAATTAAATTTTGCACTTTTATTTTGATGTCGAAAAACAAAAGCAGGATAGATAAAAACACTTAAAATTGATTAATATTAACTACATTCAGTTAATCAGCAATATGGGATACTCTTCTATCAAAGAGCTGAATTTAATACATTTATATGCATTGTTGTCTGCTTGTGGCATCTGTTGCCATGGTTATTTGTCGAGATATGACAGTTATTTAAAAGATAAGGCATTTAATGCTTCTGTTTATATTGTACATACAACCATATAAGAGGAATGTTTTTTGTTTCAGTATATTTTATGATTTTGCTTTAAAAACATACTTAAAGAGATAGCAATAAGTTGCTATATTATATTTTAGATACTATTTGGAGCAGTCAGGAAAAAAAATTGTATTTGTAAATAATGGTCAGTTGCTATTCTGATAGATAAATTAAAGAGCGCCCTCTATTGTCAATAACAGTTTGACAAGAGTTTTTGTGTTTGAGGTTAGAGCTGCTGAATCTGATCAGCTTTCGTTTATTTATTTTCTCCAGTGTTTTTCTATTTTATTGCGTTATTGTGGTGGAACTATAACAAACTGGCAAAATAATCAAAGTGTGTTTGTGTCATCTTTTAGCTGTCTTGTCTTTTTTCCCCCAGCATTTCTATTTATTGCAAAGAAAGTATCTGCCAATATTGGATGCTATTCCCAGAGAAACTCAGTGTAAGAATATATTAGGGTCCATTGAAAAGATGTTATCACCGTTTATTGTTGTGCTTCTATTCTTATAATCTGTTGTTGAAATGTTCGTCTGTGTAATTTTGTGTTAAGTGCCAGTGTGTAAGAGTGCCAGTCTCTATAACATGTCTGCGTTTGTAATGCTTGATCGTAGAATAGGTATGATAAACGGACTGCTTTGTTCATTATTATATTTGTAGTATTAAATAATGTTGATATATCATGGTTACATATTTTGTGCTTATTTCTTTCTCTGATAATATAATGAAAACAAATGGAGCTTTGCTGAAGTAGACCTCGTCAAGCAGAAAAATGGGTCATTTCCTTTGATTTAATCCCATCTGCAACTCCATCACCAACTAGATTGACAGCGCACAGGACAAGATCATTGCTGCCAATTTCACAGAGTACAAAATGTTATTTTTTTGTTCTCTTTGACTAAGTTTGTTTTGATGAGATAAGTTTTAAAACATGAAAAAAATAATCCCAACCACTGAAGGAAGTGTTCATGGTGACCCTGTCTTGTCTCAGAAATTGTTCTGGATGGATGGATGTACGAATAGATGTATACATACAGATGGAACCTAAGTTAGTTTCATATTTTAAGACCTGAAGTTCCTTACTTCGGAATTTATTTTCTATTATGAACAATAGCTTCATGATAAAAATCCTTGTGACCTTTCAAGAACAATTGTGAAAGCAAAGTCAAATATCCTGGATGAAAAAAAATTGAAAAGTTGAAATAGTAGTTGCATGGAGGATCAGGAAAGTTGGAAATGTAGATTTGAAAGTTCTAAATATTGCCAGGAGTGTTGAAAAATATACTAAAAGTTAAAAAGATAGGCAGGAAAATTTTAAAAACACCTGGAAAGCAGTGAAAGTTGCCAGGAACTCACAAAAGTTGGTATTAAAGCGCACTTTGTTAAGTGTTTCAAAAAAAAAGTCAAAGTCAAAAACATTGCCTGGAAAGTTTAAGTGGACTTTGGTAAAAGTTGCCCAGAAAGACAAAAAGTGGTTGCAGGGACAAAAACTTTTGTTGAAAGATTGCTTTGAAGATCAATAAAGTTGGCTTGAAAATTGGTAAAAAGTAAATTGATTATTGGAAAGTAAGAGCTGCATGGAAAGACAAAACATTTGTATGAAAAGTAGAAAAAGTTTGTAGAAAAGCCAACAAATTTGCTGGAATATAGAGAAAGTTAGTTGGGAAGTGATGTATATTTGCCTGTACAGAGTGAAAGACGAAACGATGGGTACAAAATCGGAAAAGTTGTGTGTGAAATTGTGAATGTTGTCCACCAGTACCCCCGGTACTTGTTATGCATATTAAGAAACACATATGAAACAAATAACTAATTAATATGCATGGATTTCAATCCTTCAATCAGATCTGTGGATTATTCAAAATCTCCTATGTACCTAGTTTCATTAAAATATGATCAGTGGTACTCAAGATATTTATGGAACACCTACATTGTATATAGTGCTTAATTTATGCAAATAAGGTGATTAGTAAGAAAAAATTTAATCATAAACTGAACATGTATATGGCTTATCTTGAGATCTTGAGAAAAAGTAAAAATGCTTAAATTGGCTAATTAATATGCAAATTAGTATGCACAGGATTTCAATCAAAACAAAACAGTACTTCGCACTATCACAGAGCATCTATGTAGCAAACAAGTTAAAATGCTTAAATTAAATTTGGGTGATTAATATGCAAATTACATAATTAATATGCACAGATTTCAACCAAAAACTAATCAGGTCTGCACGTACCAAGTTTCAGTAAAATCTGTTAATTGGTTCTTGAGATATCAGTGGAACAGACAGACACACAGATGCACTAACTGCAAAGACTCCCATTGTGTGCTTCGTACACAGGAGTAAAAAATTGGACAGAAGGTTGAGAAAAAGACATGGGGGGGGGGGTGAAAAAAAAACACCTAGAATTGATCCTGCTTGATTTCTGATCCTGTTTTTATAAATTTGCTATATTGATGCAAACAAGTAGGTTGTTACTGGAAATTAATTCAATGAACTGTGAATCTAGTAATTTACTATTGTGAATCGGCAATGCTAAATAGATATTTTCCCCCGAGATCCTGGTATTTATTGCATTTGATAAGGAAATAAATAGGCTTCATCTTCCACCTGGTTTTGATTACACATGTCACAAACTGACATTCAGAGGGATTCTTTTGTGGCGGCCAATTTCAATATTAAGGGTTTGGTCGCTTACCCAGATAGGTTCTGAAACAATCAGACTTGTACATATGTAAATGCAAATCCCCTTCAGGAGTCATATTCAGCGAAGAAGCACGAATTGAGAGGTCTAGGTTACTCCCTGGTATTCACTATAGACATCATGCAAGCAAAACTCAGAACACATTTCTTTCTCACTACCTGAAGACCTCTCACCTGACGGCACCAATCATCACAAATACAGGGCAGAGATTGACAAACTTGCACAAACGTGAATCTTACTGTACTTGTCTTTCTGACCATGTTAGGCTTTGAATAAGGAGTTTTGCCAGGGTGCCAGTTACGTTGTTACCCTTGTCTTGGAATATCTCCTTGTCACGTGACTAGAGTTTGTTATTACAAAGCTTTAACAACACAGTCCTAGTGTTGTTTTTACCGGTAATCGATCTCAACATTCAGGACAAATCACATGGAGATAAACACTGCATGTCCATTGTAATGCAGTGGGAGTGGAGGTGGTGCATAGACTGACAAAATGTGGTGACAATAATCACACGTACAGCGAAACAGTACGTTTTTACCAGTAGCCGATTCAGCATTCAGTTCAAATTATAATTGCTGATTATATGCATAGGAAGAAACTTGCAAGAATAACATAAAATACCAAATGATTGCTAGTTGACTATTTTTGCAATATCAAAATACCAATTTGACTGCAATTACACAGCCAAGGATATCAACTACCGGTAACATGCTTAAAAAGATCACCACGTCTGCTGGGATTGCAGGTGTTCATAAAAACATACTTTATGTTCCCCAAAACTCTGTTATAATCATCCTATCCATTATAACATCCCAATAATTTAAATCTGCACAATTTCATAAAATGTATGTTTAATCATAAACTTCATACATACATACATAATTTTAATGTACTGGCAGTGGAACGCATAATGATGTCAACTCTGTATTTTACATTGGATGTAGTGTTGTGTAATTCTGACAGTTGGTGTGTATTTCCATGGACGTACTAGAGTACAACCATGGTATTTACTACATGCGGTGTGTTTCTGACAGTTGATTTGT